ACGGCGTTGCAGCGGGGATAAATTCAGATGTGAATTAATGTGAGAAGAAAACTTAATGGAGGTAGCTCAGGTGGATCGAACGGCGGATTACTTTCGCGGGGAAATATAAAATTACGTGGAAATTCGTTTGACGTCTTGTTTTATCAGACGTTGATCTCTAATTTTTCACCGGCCAGCGACGTTACAACTCGGAAAGTAAAATCATTCTCCGACTTTCCGCTGCTTACTTTTGCCAGTATTTTTTTAAATTATTATGTAAATTTCTTTCATCTTATTTCAAGACGACCGAGAGAACGGAGAAAATTTTCAAGAAAACATCGCGAAAAATGTAACTACGTTCGATGAATTTCATCAGTTTGTTATCATTGCTTGTACGAAAATAAATCCGAAATACTAGCTTGTTTCGTGTTTTCGCGGTCTACGAACTTGTTTGCAGTTCGCGCAGTTGTTTGTACAGTGAGTCTGCAAACGATCACCTGGCATTCGAAATACGTACTTTTTATTCCATGAATATTGCGTACATCCCAGAAATTGCAAGCCACGCATTTCAAATCTCCTCTATTATTTTCATCCAAGTGTAACATACGTCAAAATAAAAATGTTTTACCATTTTATCTTTACTTTAATTTTGCTGCGATCTTTTTACGAATTTTCAATCTCGCTTCCGTTTTACTAAACAAAAAGCATTTATGATGTTTTAAAACATTTAAAATGATATATAACAAAACAAAAGCTAGAAACCATTCATAGCAATAACAATTGTTGATGTTCTGTTCAAATTTGACATATTTTTAATATTATAAAAATATAATTGAGTTAAAAATGTCTGGATGAACGCAGCAAGGTTAGTAGCAATGAGGTTTGATTTAAATGTCAAATTTAATTGAAATTTTTAGGGGTTATTTAATCATCGTGACGTAAGTTGCATCTAGTACACAAATCATCTCTACAAACCTGCAAATTGAAAATATCACTAGCCTGCGAGTGCCACTCGTAAATTAACGCGGATGAAAACGCCGCATTTATTACTTTGATTTACCCGGCGAACTGTCATGAGATAATACTTGAGCGCTAACGCTCCAATTATCTCAGACACGGGTACAAACAAATTGTCCGAAACGTTTGTCGTAGTAATTACGTGATACAATTTCACAGTAGACGAAACGTGTTCCGCGCTGCTACCGATCTAAAGCGGTTAACTAGGAAAGAACAGAAAGATAACGTCGGCGTGGTCCGCGCACGAACCTTTGTAGAACTTTATGCTATCTGGTGCCACGCCCAGTTTTGCGTGTGGATAGCGTTGGAAAAAAGCACACCGACAGGAAAAACTGGAGAAATCGAGAGAGACGCTGCGCGGAAAAAGTGTGACACCTTAACGGCCCTCTATGTCCGTGACATTAGACGAATTAGGTTAGGAATAGCGCTTAGCACTTCGACCGCGATCGATAGGGTTATATCGAACGAGATTTGACGAAGCCTAGAGCCATCTACTACGTTCTGTATTAATTAAACAAGACAGGGGTGGAGTGCAGCTTCTATCTATCCAAGTGTGAAAACTGCATTCTAAAAAAATTTTGTGCGGTTGACCGACACAAATCTACCCGTCAACGATCGATACAATATTAAAAAGAAAAGGAGAAAAAAGCCGAAGAGAAGAAAATACCGGGCGCGGTTTTAACTAGAAAATGTGTTAAATAATTAATTGCAGTTTACTGAATTTTCCCAATTTTGGTTGTTTGATTCTAGTTTCTAACATTCTACTGTTTTAACAATTTCTCCTTATTTCGTAAAAAAGGACGGGAGTCAAATACATATTCAAAATTGGGAAGAATCGTTAGATTGCAATTACTATGAACGAAAATCTTCTATATGTGGAAATATGAAATCAATTTATAAATTACACATGATATATCGAAATAACGACACTTATTATCGTACGAATTATCGTTAAACAATATATCGGAAGTTATAACGAGAATCCTTTATTCATTTGTTACAGTTGTAAAAAATGTTCTCGTTAATAACTTCCTCGTTCATAACAAAATATTTTGCAATATAGAAGATGACATATGAACTAACCTAAAGTTCGCAGTGCGTTCTTGTTTTACTTGCGCTTCACATAACCTATCGCTTATGCTGTTTAAATCAGGAACGTATGCATTCTTTCAGCCAATTAAAAGATAGTTAAGTAGCGGTAGTTATGTCGGGCCAGAACGAGTGACAATATCAGAAATACGTTGATAATTTCGTTTTTCCGTCGAGTGATACACCAGGTGGAGATAATTAATTACACCTGGAAATAATTAACTGCGCCATTGCAACTGCGCTCTAATGAATTCACGGTACATTTACTTTCGCAACGAATTATTTCCCTTTAGCAAAGGAAGAGGAAGGGAACTGAGGCGGGAGGAGATGAAGGAGGAGGTGGGGGATACTATGGCAAAAGGCGTCGCTTCTTTTGAAAAACAAAGGCGCCGCAACGGACGCGCGATACACAATAGCACGAAGCTCGTCTGAGTAATAAAATTAAACTCACTTCAATTTAAACTCTCCTTTGTAAACTTTCGCGAAATGATTTTAAAGCACCGCGCCGCAAGAATCATCGTAATCGCGCCGCGGAAAACAAAGCATCCTTTCTCTCTTTTCGTCCGGCTCACTCGCTTCCTCTATCACTCGTTCTTCCCTATCAACACTCGTTGTTCTTTTACCTTCGTTTCTGTAAATCGGTCCAGATGCTACAGACGTTCCTTTTTTCGTTGCTAAACCATTGCGATCAGAGTTAATTGAGAAGCGAACGTTCAAAGGAAAATTGTTACTTTTCTCTTACGTGATTGTTACGTTTGTCGTTCATGATTTCAATTTGTTTGAAAGTATTAGGAATTTGATAAACATAGATCCTGTGAAAAGAAAAGATGGGAGAAGAGGAAGCAAACGAAGCTGAGGCAGAGGTAATATTTTAATCTGTGTAATGATTTCACGGAATACTCAGGGAACAGGAAGCCTGTCGTCATTGATTGTACGTAACAAGTGGAATTTTATTATCCTATCTTTATTACATGAGACGTATCATTACGCAAGCCTCATCAATCGGCACCACTACTTGGTTCTTTAATTCGAAGATTTCACTATATCTTGAAATCTATTACAGACTGGCCGTGTATAATTTATGTACATCTTATTACATTTTGTCATTGGTAACTTTATACTTTAATACTGAAGTTTCTCCAAATCTCAAGATATCTTGGAGATTTAAATATTTTCGTTTGAGGGCAGATTAACATTACGCTTACTGTCACACTTTGTTTCTTTATCGCTGAAATTGTTGGTTTCTTCTCACTGCATCTTTTTAAGTCTTAAGTTTCCCTTTTGGTTTTTTTCCTTGCTGTCGATATCTCATATTTGATCGCAGTGTGCTACTTTTGTTACCATTGTAATCCTTGCTTGATATCTTTGTGTCTTTTTATTGCAGAATTGCACAAGCAATTTCACTTATGTGAGATTTCTCTCACAGTAGGATTGTTTCCCCGAATGTAGAAATTTTTCTAAGTTCCAATTTCATCACGATAGAGTGTACCCCAGGAAGTTATTGCCGAAGGGAAGTCCGTTGGATGATAGGTTATTTTCCACCGCTGATTCGAGATGGACATTGTACAGAAATAGCTGGAACTGAAAGAGACGCTCTCCCTCTCCTCAAATACGTTCATGGTAGTTAAGGTCGTTGGCAGGAACAATTTTGGAGACGGTGGTCGATAATGACCGTTATTTAATCACCGCATAGTTGCTTGTGGTAGCTTATTGACCAAAGGAATAGTTTTGATAATATAGGCTAGTTTAGGACACCTCGGCACTAGTCGACACTTATTTGATCACATAGAGAATCCGAATATGAAATTGATGAGATAGAAATCTTTCGTTAAAAGTATTTGTATGTCCACTCATATTTGGAAGAATCTGAACAATTTACCATAACAACACACGCAATCGAATATTCTTTAAGAAGATACATAAATATGTGTTTTAATGTCTTCCTAATTGGCAACAAGATGCGAGCAACTCTGAGAAATATACGGTATTAAATTTAAAGGAGTGCTAACAATTTATTGTACTAATACACACAGTCGAATATTTCCTAATAAGATATAATAAGTACTTCAGTGCCTTTCTAATTGGCAGCAAGATTCAACCAAGCCTGGCTATTAATAAGAGAGTCTATATCAAGAATTTTATTCTATCTTGGTGTGAAATGGGTAGAAATGGATAGAGGGGAGTGAAACAATGATACCTGACACCCAACCCGAGATATACTCGGCGTTCTGAAATCGATACTCTATATAAAAACAATTGAATGTGGAGAGACAGACTCTGGGCAACTGAAATGAAAGAAATACATACATATGTATCACTGTACTATAAGTTCCTCTCCATTGAAGATATTTCCAGCAGATAAAAATAGATAGGAATATTCATTAGCAGAAAGGTGAGCAGTCACTGTACGTACAATAGTAAGTATTACATTTACTGATTTCACATTCTAATTCTAACCTATCATTTCACACACTACATCATTTGAGTTCATATACTTCTATGCTCTAGTGAACAAATTGACAACATCCAAATGTTCAGTTGCATCTGCGAGTCCAAAATTGCAGTCGAGTTTGAAGAACATATATGTAAGTAACTTAACCTCTTTCCAGCGAATAAAAAAGGTACAATACACTATGTACAGTCAGGGAAGTTATTGCATCAACCGGTATCGGTATAAATACTTTAATTTAGAACTATGTTATATTGTGGAGTCTACTACAACGGTTTATCCGGCCGTATATGTTACCGTACGTGTCCAAGAAGACATAGGATCACTATGTCGTAATCCTTTTCTTATCGACACGAAAATGCGACACTGATTGGAGAAGTTGACGTAAAAGCGCCTCGTTACGCACAAGGAACCTTTTAACAGGGTCACGCCAGATTACCTCGTTTATTTATAGGCCGACGAAAAAATTGATCGCGACACCGATCGAACGACCCAGCTTTGAACTTTCGAACCGGACAATATCTTTATAGTTTGGCTCACAGTTGACCAGTCTTCCCTCGACTAATGAGGTCTTAACCTAACTTTCGTAAGCATATCTTAAATTTTTCTGAAAGGGCACCAGTTTCGATACAAAGTGTATTAAATGCGACATATATTTATTTTAATTAAATCAGTTTATCTTTTCTTAGACTATTACTTAGAACTAGGAGCAGTAAGTGTCACAGTAGGAAATGTCATTTCCGTCAGTCATATTAGATATATTTCGCTAAATTAATATTTAATAAAATTTAACCGTATTTTCTACGATAGTGTATATATGATTTTTAGTGTATATAGAACTGAACAGTGTATAGAACTAGGAGCAGTAAGTGTCATAGTAGGAAATGTCATTTCCGTCAGTCATATTAGATATATTTCGCTAAATTAATATTTAATAAAATTTAATCGTATTTTCTACGATAGTGTATATATGATAGCGTATTTTACGATTGGAAATATGTTTTCAGATTGCCTGTACGAGTAACGTTAATTGACGGGAAACATAATTTCCATCCTCTGTGAAAAGGTTAACGCGTCGAATGAATTTCCGGTCTTTACGAGAAATTTAGGAATCCAGAAATTTTTTCGTAGTTTACTCGGAGAAGTTGATACGACCGGTTCCTACGTTTCCGGTACACGTAGTAAGAGAGGAAACGATAAAAGGGTATGGCGGTACAGTTGCGCGCTACGTGAGTTTAGTTCGGAAAGTTTTATCGGTCAAAGTTGCTGGATACTGAGGATTTCGAAATTCGATTCTCTCAACTCGGGAGAGAACCCGCTATCCGTAAAACGAATGATTGTTTAACATGGATTATTAACGATCTGCCTGACGATAGAACGATAGAAATTCAAGAAGAAAATTTCCATTTTCTTCGTATGTAAACGAACCATATTCTCATTTTGCTTATATCGGAGAAAAACAAAAGAACCATTATTCGTGTAATGACCCACATTTAACTAGGAGGTTGGCATATTTTATTGATGGCCGGAAAGCTGATACGGTTTAACCGGTTTCAGCGCGTAGCACGCGCCAATAAAGTATACACAGTCGCTGTGCGTAACAGTAGCTTTTAATAATTACACCAACAAGACAAATTTAATATTAACCGTGAAACAGGTTCTTGTGTACCTGTGAATGCTGTTTACATACGCTTTTCTTGTATTAAAATGGATCTTTCAATTATTCGAAGGATAAAATCTGACATTCCGAAGAAATATAATCTAATGGCATTTCTCTTTGCACGAGCATTCCTGCAAATGATTATCGACCGAGTCATAAATCTTCGTAAAAATGGGCGGGGACCATTTCATTTGTGGCACATTTTACGAGAGACCTCTACAATCCCTACGGAGGGAACGGCAAACCATTTGCGGATCGTTTCATTCGAATCGTCGCCGACGGTGCCTCTCTATTGGATAAGCAATTGCAAGTGCAAACATTTGCTCGCAATCATTTATGCTCGCTGGTGTGGGCATCATGAGTGAATGTCTCACCAGCGTTGGCTTTCGCTGAATCTTGACTGGAAATTGCGTTTGAACTGAGAATGTTTACCGATGTTACATTCATTGTTCACAGAACCATTATCAAAAGGTGATTGTGTAACCAAAGTATGTTCTCGTTTTAAATCTCTCGATGCATCATGAACATAATAATACTGATTAATAATTCAATCGATAAAACAGTTCGTACGCGAACATTATCTAATGATTTATAATTTCAGGTAGAATAATCTCCATGGGATATCTGCATAACCAAGATACAAGAAGATGTACAACCGAAGTAGGTTAGGAATATGCTTCCACTAACCTATATTCTCTCATGGTCTCGCTCGTCCAGTGGAAAAGCATCATTACGTTCCGAAGCGTTCGTCGTACAATGTCACCAACGCTGTCACGATTCTCATGCACACATGCGTAATTACTCCGGTGACTGAAGCACGTCAATTCGGGTTGCACTACACGTAGCATTAAAACTCTCATGGCGCGGCGTAGGTTTGGCCGTTAGTTTGTAAAACCGCGAAGCGTGGTGTGAGCAACATACGAGTCGATACATGCAAGCTTTACCAGGTATAAAAAAAATCCATTGCATTTTACTTAACTTTTTCAGTGGCCACCGACAAGTTTTATTAAACCGTCGTTCGCATTTTTACGGAGGGGAAGGATATATACGTAGACCGACGAACGAATAGCCCTTTTCGCGAGCCATTATATGCGTTCCCGCCTCGATTTACCAGCTGCTCAGGGAGTTAGACGAAAGTTGAACGAGAATCAGGCCTATACATAATACGAGGGCCGTTGCATAACGCGTTGGCGTTGCCATCGCGTCTAAAGCTCAAAAACACGTTACTTCAGAATCCATCTCCTTACAGCTTTATGCAGCATTTACAAGACAAGTAGCGCACTCGCGCGATTTACCCAGACGAAAATCACTTAAGCTTCTTTTGTCCGCGCTGTTTCAGCGGTTCAAACGTATACTTGAAAATATATATTTTCAACGGATCTGACGCGCATTTAAATGTACCATTCGGTCGATATAAAAATGCGTTTCGATTATAAGCAAACAGACAGACTTGGCTAGAACTATTTACGATTCGCACTAATATTAAGGAATAAATAATTGTGGAAACATTTACCTTTGGGAACGTTGTTTCCGATAAATGATTCACTGCGCGAGCGCCACAAATATTTGCTATTCGTCCACATTTTCAATTAACACTATTTTATGTTGCACGCGCATTTTAAAAGTGGCAATTCAAACAGGGTTTCCAGAAAAACGAGAAACTATTCGGAAGCTTACAAAAATGATTTGCAATAAATACACGATGTTGGCAAAAAAATATGGATTCTACGAAGCAACGATCAAATATTATTTTTGTAATTCTCCATTACTCTAACACAGAATTGAAGTATTTCGAGTCGTGACACTTTTGAGACACGTATAAAGATGTATTTCTTCACGAACTAAGAATTTAAGAATTGGTGAAACAATAACCTAGCACTGGCAACGTATATGATAGTAATACGATCACGGATCACTTCGGATAAAAGGGATATTATTTTCAAGGAATATTTCGTTACGGTGGGTACCGGGTAATTGAGTTAACTGACCGAGAAGACGTGTACGGCAAAAGGTAAGTCGAGGCTTGTTGGATGCGAACTTGGGTTAAGGATAGAGACTAGCCAAGTTCGGGCCAACTTCGGATCAGGTTCGGGTCAGAAACCTGTCGGAGACAAGGCACAGACGGGCCAGAAACGGGACTCTCTCTTCGCTGTTTCCCCCCTCAGCTATTATAAAATTACGCTGCGAGACATTCTCGAGAACGCAACGTCGGGCAGTACGAAATTTTCACCACGTGCTTCCCCCTTTGCCCTCTCCCCTCTCCCCCTTTGCCACGTTTCGCCATAATTTAGCATAAAGTTTTCGATACGTATACATTATATACAGGGTGGGCCATGCGAACTGTTCTCTCAGAAACCAAGGGAAATATTAATTTAACATTTTTTCCAGTTTAATGAAATGAGAAAATGAATTATGCGGTGTACGAATATTCTTTTGGTACTACTACTATAAGTTTTTGTTATTTTTCGAAATGAAGCGCTGTATTCAATTCGCTTTACTTAGATAGATGTTGCCAAATTTAATAATATCTACTTGAAACATTTTCTGTTATTCCACATAACTGACGCTACGAATTATATCTTTCCTAAGAAAAGCTTTATAGAACACCCTATACATACAAGCGTGTTGAAGGCAAATAATAGAGGTTTTAAGTTACCTTTAATCTCGAGAATTTAAATTAAGTTAAGTTTAATTTATGGTTGCCATTAAATCAAAGATATCCCTCATAGTACGCATCACTGTAAATCGGATTTAACTTCCAACCTTCCAATTTTCCAACGATTCGCGTCTATACGATCGCGAGTTCGAGATCATATTTGTCGTCGTGGCAGGTTCCGTCGGCAATGTTAACTTACAACAGTTCGATCATATGGTAATAAAATCAAACCGCGTTTAGAGAACAACAGTTTTCGAAATATCGACATTATCGATACACAGGTGGCGCCCTCGTCCCGAATCAACATATTCCATTAACGAAATGGACAATCTGTGTCTATGCGTTCCGTAAATCCGTTTTGACCGATATTTCGATACACATTGTGTATCAGCCGCGACATGATTTAATACTGGAAGATGTTAATTAAAATCTCAACGCTATAGGGCTGGCGATTTTCTCTCTTGATAAATTATAGGGCTTCGAGACACCCCTATGATCCGTGAGAAATTATTAATTATATCGATCAGGGCCAACCTATATTATCCATCCACCTGTAATCGATGATGATAAGTCGTAGCTGACCGATCGGGAGTAATTTATGGCTGTTTAATGTAACTTGATATTTTTCTTATCGAGCGCGCGCGACCGCCTAAGTACAAGCCTTCGACGATTCAACGCAGGAAGTTCCGACCTCGATCTCTTCTTTATTGGCTTCAATATTCTAACATGAAAACTGATCCTTCGAGGAAGCTGAAGGCAAATAGAATTACCGACTCAGAATAGGAGAAAAAAGAAGGAATCAAACAAAAGAATAGAATAACCCTTTGGACTTTAGACTATTAGATCACCATTGATATGATGAAAACACTATTCTCCAACCTCTTCTTTCGAGAAGTTATTTTAAGTATTACTCGTTGAAGACTAAAACGGCGTAGACTGAATTTTAAATAAGTGTAAAAAGCTTTTTTGTGTCTAACTTATGAACTTATCAAAACCAAAAGAGATGAAATCAGGGTTCATAGGTCAGGAATATATTAAAAATTATAAGAAAAGAATAAATTATAAATTATATTAGAAAAGCGATCTAACCTACAAAATATCTAAGCTAGAACAAACTTAGAATTGGTCAAGAAAATAATGGAACCAACTATGTGCAAAAGGTTAAAAAATGAAATTTGTATTTTACCTTAACCAAAAAAAGACCGAAGTTTAAGAATCAAGGATTGAAGGAGACAAAATGACCTGCCCGACCGAAGGTAAGTAAACGAAGTTGAAAAAAAACAGGATATAGACGAAAAGAAAGAAAGAGAGAGAGAGAGAGAGAGAGAGAGGAAGAGACAGAGAAAGTACACAGGGGAAAAGATAAACAGAAGAAAACAATTTCGAGAAAATGAGAAAACGGAGTATCACGGAAAGAGTGGATAGAGAGGATCGGAAAGGGAAAGGACAGAGCGAAGAGGAACGAGAAGACTGTCGATACGCAACTTGTCTGGTGGTACAGGCATAGACTACGTTTACTTTAGATCTGCAGTGCATACAGAGAGTGCAGACAGGTTTTATTAACCCCCTCTCGACCACTCCGCGAACGTGTATCCCGGATATATACGCTTTCCCTACGAGTTGCTTCCTCGATGTTCAACCCGAAGCCACACGGCTATATACTTGCAATCGATCGTTGGCACGACGCCACTGCTATTTCTTCTTCTTCTTCTTCCTCTTTTCTTTCTTTATTTCTTCCCTCTTTTGCTTCTTCTACTTGTACTTCTTTTGCTTCTTAGTTTCTTTCATCGTCTGCTTCTTTTACCCTTACTCCCACCACTTACTACTTCTCTTATTCTCTTCCCTTTCCACGTTTCTGCACAACCAACGATGGATTCTTCCCCTTCTTCGCAGTATCTGTGCATTCCTTTCCCACGAGCTATGAATTTACTTTCGATGATATTGTTCTTGTGCCGCTAGCACGCCCCCGATAAAAATCTATAACCTTTTCTAGGGAACATCAAGTTTATCGTTGATCGTCCTCGATGCCGAGGTTGGTAACTGAATTTTAATGGGGAGTTTTAGGGGATTCCACGAAGGGACGATTCTGCTAAAACTTCCCATTAAGCATTCTTAGTCACCTAACCTATTAAAGGGACAATGTTAACGCAACATCTCATTTGCACTCTTTTTCAATCATTCCACTGACACGTCATATTTCTAAGCCTGATATAACCTTAAAAATTCTACTGTCATTTGTTTCTTCATAGCGAGAAACGCAAAGTGTGAGTGAAATAGAAAGCAACATATTTAGCAACTTAGTATCTTGATAAAGAAAAAGCAGAATATTCCTTCATACAAGAAGAAAAAGCATTTCCTTATATAAGAAATATAATTTATAGGTTAATAATAGTAATTTCAGGTTAGGTAACACAAATAACTAGTGCTAGAGAGGAACAACGGTGGCGATGAAAATAGTGTATTTCTAGCGTGAAATCAGATTGTTTACAATTTAAAAGATAACCTAAAACGACATTTTTGTACATGAACTTTCCCCTTGTATCGATGTCTAGAAAGACACAATGTAAATATCGTCTACTTTCGTCAACAATCACTACAATTATTTAAATTATCCTAACGCTACGTTTGTTAACACAACCGTACCAGTATTTCAATTTAGGTTAGAGTTTCCGTAACTACAGCCGTGGAAACAGTAGTCGTTATGTCAATTAGCATTGAAAAACTAGTCGTCGTTCTGAAGCGGTGTCGACAATGGCGACGACGACGGCGACGCAAGGCAAACAGTCTCGCGTGAACAAAAACACCGCGCGCAAAGCATGACACGCTGAAAGGAGGATAAATATTTAGTCAGCAAAAGTGCTCATAGATACGTTTTCAACGCACTAAAAATTACATTTAAACGCAACCTGAACGAGGTATTAATGCCTCCTCTCCCGTCAGGTCTGGGGGCTATCCTATCGTTTAATTGGCCAGTGTAAATCACCGCGGGGACACAAATATTTTCTTCCAATCGTTTCGCTTTAATCGGGTGCGTGCACACCGCCGATCTACCGGTTACTATGACGACTTTTGATTAAAGCACCGTTTCAAATTAGCTTTGTGCGTTTGCACTTAACAAAAGCCTTTACAATGGCCCCTTTCGCAACCAGAGTTTAATATAATAGGTATTAGTGAGATGTTACGAGTGCTACTCAAAGGGGTTGGCAATACCTCGGTAGGAGGTACTCCCGGGGGTACCCAACTGTTCGAACTCGTCGAAGGGTTACGGTCGCTGAAAGATTGGCGCAAAAGGAGATGCAGTTCGGAAAAGGGACAAGGAGGGAAGAAAATATTGAAAGAAACAGTGTTGAATAACATGGTCGCGTAAGAGGGAAAGCACTGTGGTACGAAACGTGAGACGAAGAAAGAGACAAGCGTTAAGAGAGAATATATATAGGGTGAGTCATTTAACACTGTCACTTACAGTAACTCACGAAAGTATTAGCTTACCCCAAAAGTTTCTTTCGCTTTATAAGGAAATAATAGCTGCACAACATTTTTTGTTTTATATTATTTTGTTGAATTATGTATGATCCATTTTATTCTATTGGAACAATGCATCTACTGTGCATCTATTATTTCCTTATAAAATGAAAGAAACTTTTAGGACAATCTAATATTTGGGCACTCGTAGGAACGTATTGTGAATATGTTACGAGTGTTATAGAAAACATTTTGAAATTTCAAGAAGAGCAAGGATGGTAATATGAAGTATGAGGTACATAGAGACAAATAGAGGTTAGGAGAAGAAGAACAGTTTCAATCAGAAGATTGTATAGTATCAAGGATGATTAGACCACTTAAAGATATATGTCGATAATTATTGATTTTTAATCACATATATCTTACCAGGTTTTATTCAACGTTCAAATATTCTTTCTAATCGCCATTAAAATCATCAAGATAACCTTCGTATCTTTATAAAAAAAGGCAAAATATTTCTTCACGCTTTCACATTTTCTTCAAGAAGAAAAAAGCATTTCTTTATATAAGAAAAATAATTGACGAGCAATTTCAGATTAGGTAACTCATAACCAGTGCTAGAGAGCAATCGTTTCAGAACTATTAAGATATATGAGTAGCAACGGTGGTGAGAAAAAAAGTAAAAAACAAGAGTAATGCAAAGAAAAGATGGTAAAGAAAGACGCAGAAGGAAATATATATATGTATATATATATGTAAAAACTGGCACATGTAAACGCAGATAAGGAGGGAATCGAAGGTAAAAAAGAAACACGAGAAACAAAAAGTAAAATAAGAAGGATAAAAAGAATCTAAGAAAATGAAGATGAGTGAAAGTAGAAGTGGAGGAAGTGGGAAGAAAGAAAAGAAAAGCAAGACATTTCTCTCTCCCTTTCTCCAATTTTCAGACTACCAGCTGAACCTAAGGTCTTCTATTTCTCAACCTGTTGAACTTCTCACCTACATGACGCACGATTTGTTTTCCCTGAACGTTACCACCGGAATGCTCACTGGTATTCTCTTGCCTGTTCTCGCTCGCACCAAGTGTAAAACAGGGAACAAAATGGAAATGGATTAAAGCAGCCGTAAACGTCTATAACGTCCATTAGGTACAAATCACAATCGAACGATTTCCATGAATGTTAACGACGCTATTTTACATATTTCCGATTCGATCTATTTACAAGCTTTTCCTTTGTTATAGCAACAAACATTCTCATTTTACAGTCTTCGTAACATCGTAATTCGTACTCTGAGGCTGTATTATCTCTCAAGATGCGACCAATACCACAGCGAGTGTAAACATGAATTAACAACGAGACGCTGTCAACGCAATTTTATTCCGACCATTTGATATATCGAGGCGTGACACTACAGTGCGTTAAG